TCCACCTCACCCCAGTTAGAATGGCTAAAATCAAGAAATCTAATAATGACAGATGTTGGAGGGGATGTGGCCAAAAGGGAACACTATTGTATTGTTGGTGGGAGTGTAAACTTGTTCAACCACTCTGGAAAGAATGATGGAGTTTCTTCAAAAGACTCCACATAAATCTCCCCTATGACCCAGCAATCCCACTCTGGGCATTTACTCAAACAATCACAAACAAGGCCATACTAAAGCTACCAGCACCACTATGTTTATTGCAGCATTATTCACCATAGCTAAGATATGGAACTGACCCAGATGCTCCTCAGTAGGTGAATGGATCAAGAAAATGTGGTTCATATATACAATGGAATTCTACGTTTCCATCAGAAAGAACAGCATCACCCTCTTTTGTTAGGAAATGGAAAGACCCAGAAAAAAATCATATTGAGTAAAGTTACCCAGTCCCAAAGAAATTTTGGTCCCATGGTTTCCCTTATTTGCAATATCTAGTATATCTATGAGTCAAGCGTAAAAGGTCAGATAATGTGATGTCAGGAAATTGAACCCTTAGATATGTATCTTAATGCTTTTTCTTTCATGCATGTGTTTCTAATGCACTTATAAGATTATCTCTTTGTTGCTTTGTATGTCCCTCCCCCACAGTATAACCCCTGCTTTCACTATATTCGATGTCAGTATAACTTGAGGAGGAGATGGGGAAAAACCAGCTGTTTAAAGATACAGGTGGACCTGTTGCAACAATGAGAAGTACAAGTTGTCATGTCCAAAACGAGCTTTACAACATTGGTGCGGGGGGGGGGGGAGGAAGGGGGGGAAGGAGAAAGATTGGGATCAGGTAGTAAATATTTGATAAATGCTGACTGTCCATCAGTACTCCAGAACATTAATTGGAAAAAAAATATATGTCAAGAGGAAAGAAAGAATTGTCCCAAAGAGGAGAGGAGCTGCCTCCTTCTTGGTTCTTCCCACCTCTGTGTTGACTCACCTTTGACACTCACAGAAGGAAAAAGAAGCCTCCTGAATCTGTCTTTTCTAAACATTCTAAACAGTAGCTCTGTATAGTCTGCTCCAAAATCTTAATTTATTTCCTGATTTTAAAAACTAGATTAGTCAGGTATCCCATAAAAAGAAATGCCAGTCACCCTTGTTCTAAAGATGGAAACATAAAAGGGATCCAAATAAGGAAAGGAGTAAAAATCTCCCTCTTTGCAGATGACATGATCTTGTATTTAAAGAATCCCATGGACTCCACTCCCAAATTACTCAAGCTGATTCAAAACATTGGCAAAGTAGCAGGGTATAAAATTAACCCTCAAAAACCAATGGCTTTTCTGTATGCCAACAATGAGAAAAGTGTGGCTGAAATCAGGAAAGCAACTACATTCGTAATAGCCCCACAAAAAATAAAACACCTAGGAATTAATTTAACCAAAGAAGTGAAGGACCTCTATGATGAAAACTTTAAAAACCTGAAAAAGGAAATCAAAACAGAACTTAGAAAGTGGAAAAACCTCCCATGCTCCTGGATTGGAAAGATCAGCATCGTGAAAATGGCAATAATTCCCAAGGCTATCTACAAATTCAATGCAATACCTATCAATATTCCAACCTCATTCTTCAAGGAAATAGAAGAGGCAATCCAAAAATTCATATGGAACAATAAAAGACCCCGAATAGCAAAAACATTCCTTAATAGAAAGAACAGTACAGGGGGAATATCAATACCAAATTTCAAACTCTACTACAAAGCTGTAGTAATCAAAACTGCTTGGTACTGGCACAAGAACAGACCTCAGGACCAATGGAATAGAATTAAAAACCCAGAAATGAACCTACAGACCTATAGCCATCTAATCTTCGATAAGGGAGCTAAAAAAAATAGAATGGAAGAAAGACAGCCTGGCAAAATTGGTTAATCACCTGTAGAAAACTAAAGCTAGATCCTTATATATCACCCTGCACCAGAATCAACTCCAAATGGATCAAAAACCTAAGAGTCAAAGCGGACACTCTGAAAACATTACAGGATGGAATAGGAGAAACCCTAGGTCTCCTTGGCACAGGCTGAAATTTTCTTAATAGAGACCCAGAAACACAACAAATCAAAGAAAGGTTGGACAAATGGGATTGCATGAAGTTGCAGAGCTTCTGCATGGCAAAGGACATAGCTAGCAAGATCAATAGAAAGCCCACGGATTGGGAGAAGATCTTCACTAGCCATACAACAGACAAGGCTCTCATATCTAAAATATACCTGGAACTAAAAAAATTAAATCCCCCAACAACAAATTCTCAAAAAAACAACTGCCCAATAAATAAGTGGGCTAAAGACTTAAAGAGAAACTTCTCTGAAGAGGAAAGAAGGATGAAGAAATGTTCAACCTCCCTAGCCATAAAAGAAATGCAAATCAAAACAGCATTGAGATACCAGGTCACCCCAATTAGAATGGCTATAATCAAGAACTCTAATAACAACAGATGCTGGAGAGGATGTGGACAGAAGGGAACCTTACTGCATTGTTGGTAGGAGTGTAAACTTGTTCAAGCACTTTGGAAAGCAGTATGGAAGTTCCTCAAAAGACTCCACATAGAGCTCCCCTGTGACCCAGCAATCCCACTTTTGGGCAATTACCCAAATGATCAGAAACAAGACCATACTAAAGCTACCAGCACAACTATGTTTATTGAAGCATTATTTACCATAGCTAAAATATGGAACCAACCCAGATGCCCCTCAGTAGATAAATGGATCAGGAAAATATGGTATATATACACAATGGAATTTTATGCCTCCATCAGAAAGAATGGCATTGCCCCATTTGTTAGGAAATGCAAAGACTTGGAAAAAATTATATGAAGTGAAGTAATCCAGGCCCAAAGAAACATAGGTCCCATGGTTTCCCTTATTTGCAATAACTAGTATATGTCTGAGACAAGCAGAAATGGCAGATAAGCTGAAGTTAGGCAAAATGAACCCCAAGATAAGGACTCAAATGATTTTTCTTTCTTGCGATTGTTTCTAACATATTTATAAGATGATTTCTTTGTTGCTTTGTATGTCCCTCCCACACAGTATAGCCCCTGTTTTCACTGTATTTGATGTTGGTATAATTTGTGGAAAGGAAGGGAGAAAACAAATTGTTTAAATAGGGATACAGGTGGACCCATTGCAACCATGAAATATACAAGATGGTATGTCGAAAAACCAACTTTACAACTTTGGCCAGGGGTGAGGGCGTAGGGGAGTGGGGGGGGGAGGTCGGGGGAGATGGGAAGGGATGGGAAGGGGAAACAAAAGAGGAGCCAACAATGCTTGATAAGAAATGTACTCATTACCTTGCGCATGTAATTGTAACCCCTCTGTACGGTATTTTTGCAATAAAAAGAAAAGAAAAAAGAATCCTGTCTAACTCAGTCCTGAGAAATCAGATCTTTCCAATGCTAACAGGAGAGAGAAGGGGCCTCCCATTCTTTGTGTGCCCTGTGACTTCTCTGGCCCAGAGCTTCCCCCTGGGTGGGGATGGACTTAGAGGTTCCTGGATAGCTCCAAGCAGGTCCCAACTGGAGCTCTTAGGCTGGTGGATAGCCCCACAAGGTCAGGTCACTGAGTAACCTCCCTTTCCAGCCCAGCTGAGCTGCCAGCCCAAACCACATGCTTCTGGACCAATTCTGCGCTCATCAGGATCACTAGTCCCTTTCTCGGAATCTAGATCATCACCTAGCTATTTCTCCTCCTTTTAGTCATGCCCTATTTTTAGTGTTTCTCACCCACCCACAGGCACATATATCTATCCCTATATAGCTGTATTAGTTTGCTGTAACAACGAAGCAGGATGTAACAATTCAACATCAGGCATGTCTTTCTCACAACTCTGGATACTAAAAGTTTGAAGTCAGACACTGGTTTCTCTTGAGGTCTCTCTCTTAGGCTTTGCAGATGGCCATCTTCTCCTTTCACATAGTCTAAATACGGCCATACTCTAAAACCCTGGATCTATGTCAATATGTGAACTGGGGTGGTAGATGCAGTTCATCTCATAACACCAAGGATGAACACTGCATACTTAGGATACAGGATAATTTTTCAAGAAAGAAAGAGGACTGGTATATGTCAGAGAGGACAAGGCTGTCTTTCAGGACAATTTGTTATATGTGCTGAGGGCAGCCACTAATGTGGCATTTAAAGTCCCCCTATGAAATCCACAAGCCCCATGCCATCCAATGACTCTTGCTCTGAAATCTGAACTCCATAGCTCTGTCTCTTGGTCTAGTTATGGGCGGACAGTTTTTGCAATCCTCTGGAGAGATGGCTGTGTGCGGGCTCCTAGGTATTTTCCACTTTGCTTCTTTTTTAGAGATGAGCTTTTAATCACCCTGCTCAACTGTGATACCCAAGAAAGGCTGAGTGGGTAAAGTTAGCTGCAGTCACTCTGTGACCTGTTTGCACATACCAGGTCGATACAACTCCGGCAGAATGACAGTGACAGCTGTCACTGTGGCATTCAAAGGGAATTGAGCAGTTCTGTTTGGAAGACTTGGACACAAGTATATCATTACAGCTCAACTGTTCAGAGAGAAGACACTTAAATTCACTCTCAGGAATGAGCGTGGCTCTCTGTAGCCACCCAAGGGCCCATCTTGGACACTGTTCAGCTTGACTATGACTCTTCCATCAATTTTCTCCATGCTGCAACCTCATGGCCAAACTTAAACCCTGTCCCGGCTTGTCACAGCCTGCCTTACAGTAGCTGGGGCAGGACAAACTTTCAACAGTGAAGGAGGAAGTAAAAGAAAAGGAGAAGAAAGAAGAGGAGAGGAGAAGAGGAAGAGAAAGAGGAAAAGGAGAAGAGAGGAGAGAAAAGAAGAGAAGAGAAGGGAAGGGAAGGGAAAGAAGAGAAGAGAAGAGAAGAGAAGAGAAGAGAAGAGAAGGGAAGAGAAGAGAAGAGAAGGGAAGAGAAGAGAAGGGAAGAGAAGAAAAGGGAAGAGAAGGGACCATGGGAGCCAGGCAGTCAAGAGCCAACTCTAAGGACAAGGACCCCAAAAGGATGCCCACCTTGGGGAGGCGACAGAAGTTTCCCGCATGGGATGATACCCTGCTCTTGGGAAAGGACCCAAGGTCCCTGCTGAAGCGAGGCATGTGCCATGTCAGTTTTAGCTTGGTTACAAAAGGAATGACAGACATCCCGGACTTTCTGTGGGGCTTGTCTGAGGTCCAGAAACTCAATCTGTCTCACAATCAGCTCCGAATTCTCCCTCCTGAGGTGGGGAAACTGACTCGGATCGTGGTCCTGAACTTGTGTGGGAACCGCCTGAAAAGTCTACCCAGAGAAATTAGCCTCCTACAGAACCTCAAAGTCCTGTTCGTCAACATGAACTGCCTGAGCGAGGTCCCTCCCGAGCTCAGCCTGTGCAGAAGCTTAGAAGTGTTGAGTTTGTCACACAACTGCCTGTCCCAGCTTCCCGCAGGCTTCGCCGACCTCTCCAGACTGCGGAAGCTGAACCTTAGCAACAACTATTTTGTACACATTCCCATCTGTGTGTTCTCCCTGAAGGAGCTGGATTTCTTACACGTGGGCTCCAATCGCTTGGAAAACATCGCCGAGAGCATCCAGTGCCTGGCCAGCCTGCAGATTTTCATTGCTGAGAACAATAACATCCACTCCTTCCCAAGATCTCTTTGCCTTGTCACAAGCTTGGAGCTGCTGAATTTAAACAACAATGACATCCAGACCCTGCCAGATGAACTCTATCTGCTCAGTAGACTGGGGCGGATTGCCTGGAACCCCATGGACAAAGGGCTCCACATTTCCCATAACCCTCTGTCCAAGCCTTTGCCAGAGCTGGTGGAAGGGGGCCTGGAGATGCTCTTCAGCTACCTGAAGGACAAAAAGCATAACTGACGTGGACATCAGAGGGGTACACATGAGCCAGAGCATCTGGACTCTGCCAGCCAGGGTAGTGCTAGTCTAAGCTTTCTGCTCTTACTGTTGGCGTCTGCAGATGCTTGGTGCCCATTTGTGAGTATCTGTCCATGGAGGGTTCGTGCTTGTTACTCTGTTTGTTGTCCTCAGTAGCATCTGAGAGAGTTTGCTATATCGTTCTCAACTTAAGTTGAAGCAGGCTTTGGGGTTTTGTCAGAGAATTAATTGCTCTGATTGTTTCAAGGAGCCGTGAGATGCAGCCTTTAGTAGAGTGAATAACAGGTCTGCATTCAGTAGAGAATTCAACCGTGTAAAAACCTGTATGGTTTGAGGCAGGGCCCCTGAATCAGGGATCTGATGTCAGATGGTGACAGCAAGACAAGTTCCTTTATTGGACAGTCAAAATGAGGGACCAAGGGGCAAGTGGAGCTGTGCTCTGTGCACTAAGGGCCACAGAAGGCAGAGCTTTCTTGTCCTTGGCATTCTGGAGAATGAATCATAGGAACTTTTCCTTAAAATGCCTGCAGGGTAATAACCAGGCTGTTGATGGTGATGGCTGGGGTGAAATTCCAGATAATAAACACAAGCTGATGTCAATATGTGGCTCCAACCTTCTTCTCACCCTCCCAAGTTACCTTTCATCTTGTTTTTGTTACAAATACTGGTGCTTAGTCCAGTGACCCTTTTCTAATTATTTCTAATTTCCCTTCTTCTCCCTTAATGGATTTGCTCTCTGACAGAGAAGCTAATCATTGAGGGGAGGAAGGAAGGAGGACATCAGACACAAACCTCAGAAAAAAGTAAATGCTTTTCTGAATTTTAAGAAAAGGAGAATGTTTGCCACTTGTTGTTCACATGTGGACCTTTCAAAGCTCTTTAGACAAAAGTCTCTGTGGGGAAAAATCCCATAAAGCTTGTTTTATTTTGTGTGTTTAGAGAGCACACAGCTAAGCACAGACATAGCACCTGGCCAGAAAAGACAGTGCACCTGTGCCAGGGTCACTGCATCTCATGCCATCCCAGCAGCCAAGAGCCCCAGAACATTAGTATTTATTTGGGGTTAAGAAATAAAATGGCGGGCATCAATGGCTCATGCCTATAATCCTAGCTACTCAAGAGGCTGAGACCTGAGGATCACAGTTCAAAAGTAGGCCAAGCAGAAAAGTCTGTGAGACTCTTATCTCCAATTAACTACACCAAACTGGAAAGGGAGCTGTGGCTCAAGTAGTGGAGTGCCAATCTTGAATGAAAAAGCTCAGGGACAGCACATAGGCCCTAAATACAAGACCCAGTACTGGCACCAAAAAGAAAATGTGTCAGTAAAAGTATCCTCAGGTCAAGTCTGGAATGAGCTAACTGCTTTATCTTCCCCAGCGATTAGCTTACAGAATACAAGAATAACAACAACAACAACAGCAAAGTAAATTGCAAGACTTGGAATTTGGAGTCTGGACTGAGACTTGTGTAACTCTTAATATTCCTATTAACTGAATTAAGCTTCCATGTATTTAAATTTATTCTGTTCTGGACACTGGGCTGACAATCCAAGAGGAAGTTTCTCTTACTAATGAGCTCACTGTTTGGTGAAGAAGAGAGACACACCTTGTATTTGTTGTTGTTTGTTTGTTTTAGATCCACAAGAGACAGAATTAGCAGACTGAGGTGAGAATAACAAGATGCCTATAGATTAGTCCAAGCTCCAAATTCTCAGAAATCAAAGAACAGCAAAAGACAAACACAGTTGGGATGAATCTGTCCAAGTGCCTGTGGCACTGTCACCATCTAACTATCCTACCTTTCTTCTCCCTACTTGAAAAGAAACAACAAAGAACTGGGGTCACGTAAAATTCATTCAGTGACTGTGGTGTGTTGTTTGTGGGTACACTTTCCTAAAAGCTGCTCAAAGCAGGGGGGTCTCCAATAACTTTTTCATAGGAGCCAAGAGACCACAAAGTCAGGGTCCCCTTCCACTAAGGAAGTTAATTCCTGCTATGATCATCATGTGCACATTTGTGCCTGGCTTCGCTGACGAGCCACTGTAAATAGACCTTCCCAGTGTCACTCCCAGGCAGCTGAAGTCCCTTCTAACACTCCACATGTAGCAACTGGAAACCTGCAGTTAGATCTCTGCCAGCCACACACACACAGGCACACTCCAATACCTCCCCCACAAGTGGCTTGTGGGAGCCAAGACTATTTAAAAACATCAGTGGAATTTTCACGACCTCCTGACTCAGTGGGAAATTGCAGGGTGAGCCTTGCTCTGCAGAACTGGGCAAGTTTTCACAGAAGCATTGGCTGAACGACATGCAGCTGTTAGACCATGGTGCGGGCCAGCGGCCTATCTGTGCATGTCCACTGCTTGAGAAACCACTTGGCTCACGCTGGATTTCGTGACCTTGCTACAGGCAGAGACTCGCGGACAAGGCCAACAGCGCTGTGCTTTTCCTGCTGAGCAATGATTTTGTCTCCTCCCAGCTTTCTCAGGTCACTTTATCCCACAGAAACTCAACTCCAGGGAAAGAATGTCAACATATTTTGAAGGTGACCCAAGAGCTTATTATACTTTTTATAAGGAAAAAAAAAAGTTATCACTTTTGCTACCAGCTTCCAGTGGGTGCCTTTCATAAGTATAATAGCAGAATTTTCTTTGTTAAAACTCAGCATGGAGAAAATCATGAAAGTATAGCTGTGGCCTGTGGTGCTTTGGATATTGATTCTTTGTGGATGCTTCTCTTTTTTTATTGATAAAGAGAAATGTTGAACAAAACCTGTTAATGCGCCTAGTTATTCCAAACACTATCGTGGAGGGAATTTGATATACCCTTCTGTGTCTTTGCTGTGAAATTCTAGTGTTCTGACTGTCTGTGAAATGCTTCTGGCCTGTCTTTCATACTTCTAAATCTATCACATTCAGGTAACTCACAGATATTTCTAAAGCTTCTGAAATCAAAGTACCAAGGCTGACCGCATTAGTTATAGAGTATTTAGTCAAAGAATACGAGCTAATTGGGTGGTTGATGTGGAAGCTGCCTGCACCCGGTTGTGATGATGCTGTGATTTTCTTGTCTCTGGGCTCTTGGTGGGGAGGGATGTCTGGGTGTGTTCAGAAATACCTTTTGAAACAGTTGGAGAATATAAACACACAATTAAGCAAAAACCCTATGTTCCTAAGAAAGGAAGAAGATTGAAAAGCACATCTGTTCAAGGAATAGTGCTACTAAATGCAGATGATGGCTGTATATTAGAAAGGAAAACTCAGTCATTACTTAGCTTGTTGGCTTGATATGCAGTTAATAGAAGTAATGTACTTAGTTCTCAAGCTTCAGTTAATAGACTTCCTTTTGGGAATAACCCAAGATAGATGGCTTTGGGATCCCATATCTGGATTTCACAATGTAGGCATGCCTGTACTGAAAAAAAGAGAACATTGCCATTATTAGTGGGGATACATGGGGAACAAAAGTACTCTTCTTTTGCAGTGAATGATTGCAATTTTGAAAGTCAAACTCACTCATGGCTCAGCACATCTACTGCATATTCATAGGGAAAAGAGGAAAACTAAGGAACCAGATTAAAGGCTCAACCTCTGGAGACACAGTCAGGTGTTAAGGCTGGGATGATGGAGTGGGTGAGGTTCTGCAGGATGGTCTGGGTGCTTTTCGGTTATATACACAGGCTGTGGTAGGTGAATGAAGTCACTGTGATTCTGTTAAAAAGGGAAGTAGAAGATAAGTCCAAGAATTATATAAGAAACAAACAAACAAAAATCAAGCTCAAGCAGCTAGATGAAACCAATACAAAGATACTAAATACTGACTTACATCTTCAATACTTACTCATTAAAATAGGACCTGGCTAGGACTTTACCAAGTAAGATCTTTTTTTTATTGTCAGTGGTGGGGCCTGAACTGTGGGCCTAGGCACTGTCCTTCAGCTCTTCAGCTCAAGGCTAGCGCCCTACCACTTGAGCCACAGCATCACTTCCAGCTTTTTTCTGCTCATGTGGTGCTGAGGAATCGAACCCAGGGCCTCATGCATGTAAGGCAAGCACTCTACCATTGAGCCACCTTCCCAGCCCCCAGGTAAGATCTTATGTCAGTGTGACATTTTCCTCCAGGAGTTGGGTTTTCAGTCCTCTGTAACATTGAGACACACACAATCCCCAGCCTAAATGAAATTCCCAGCCAAGCCTCAGTGTTGGTGATGTCATTTCCTACTTATGGTTAATTGAGGAACACCAAATAAAAGTCTTCCATGAAGTTTAAGAAAACAAAACAAAATTCAGAAGGGCACAAAAGCTACTATAAATAATAATGCCGACCATTCTTGTCCTTGTAGATAACTTTCTACAAGCATTCCTTTTAAGTTACCTGTCAAGTTACATGTGGAATCCAAAGCACTACTAATTTTTTTAAAAAGACAGCATGGTAATAAAAAGAGGAAGCAGAGAGGGCTCATAAGGCATTTGTAACAGCTCTGGTATCATTAGGGTGAGCATAAGTGAAAGCCATTAGCATGAAGCTTGCGAAGCAGTTTTTTTTTTTTTTTTAGTGGTGTCACAGGAATCTTCTTGCAAGGCTAAGTTTATTTCCTACGGCTTCTCAGCGTATTCCTTATTTCAGCATAGGGCAGAAAAGAAAAGATACACTGGAGTGGTATCAAAGTGTTTACTGATACTCATGAGAGAAGCATAGGTTATGAACAGGGCAAACGCTGGCTTTGACTGTGCGGATGAGAGATACTGCAGGAACTTGGTTCACCACACTCTCTCTTTGTCCTTCAGTGACATGAGTGCCTCAGAAGTCAATATTCCAGCCATGCCACTTTAGGAGGAGACTCTTTTTTTTGCTGCTCACCAGATTGCCATGCCCACCCTCCTGTGCAGAAGAGGTGGAGAGGTGGGAAAAGCTCTGAACTGAGACAACTGTGTTGATTGTTCAGCATTACTGAGCCTCTGTTCTTCCTCAGACTATAGA